TTGACGTTAAATTGTCAATAAGACGTTTATTCCTACAATCTACAATTAGATTATAAAAGTTTAAAAAATCAACACCAATTATAGGTCTAGTTACATCGGCTACTACAAAACGCCATGGAAAAACACGTCTTAACCCTAAATCTAAGTCTAAATTTACAAAACCATAAGTAGCTATACTAGAACCTTTAGGGATGTTTGCTTGAGGGTTGATTGCTTCAGAATTATTTGGTCGATGTTAAAATAACTGTAGCGTGGATATCTTGCTGTCTCGTTTCAGCACGCGATAGGGTCCGTCGTAGGGTGCTTGTAACGGCTTCTTTACGGCGTCTATGCGTACGAATACGTATTCACATGTCTGCAGGTCGCGGTGTATGAATATAGGTTTTGTGTTGCCGTGTGGTTGGTTAGGCATTGGTTGCAAGTTACGAATTGCGTCGCGCAGCTGATCGATGTAGGCAGAGTCCATAATGACGTCATCGCGGGTCGTTGATAAGAAATCACCGGGTAAGCGTATGTTGCATCCGTAGGTAAGTTGGGCGGCGCTTACGCCGGTGTCACTTCGCATGGCGGCGCGTAATCCGAGTAGGACGGTTGGTAACTCGTTGATCCAGCTTCTTGCGGTCTGTAGTCTTGCCTTTAATGCGGCCTTAAGGACACGGTGCCATCTTTCGATGATACCGTTACACTGTGCATGGTATGATGTTGTACGCGTTTTTTCAATTCCGAGTAAGCGAGAAAGAGATGCAAATACTCTGCTTTCGAATTGGCGTCCTTGGTCCGTTGTAATTGTAGCAGGGCAACCGAAACGGGAAATCCAACCTTCGTACACTGCTTTGGCGACGTCTTCAGCTGTTATTTCGCATAATGGGTATGCTTCGGGCCATCTCGTCGCTCTGTCGATCATTGTCACGAGGTATCGATGACCGGTGGCCGCGGTAGGTAGCGGACCAACGATATCGATGTGAACGTGTTCGAATCGTTCGGTTGGTGAAAAAATTGATAATGGACTTGTTGTGTGGCGTTGTATTTTAGCGCGCTGACACTGTAGGCATACTTTTGCCCACTTGCCGACATCTGCGTTCATTGAGGGCCAAAAGTAGCGTTGCGTAATTAATTTCCTCGTGGTCTTTATTCCAGGGTGGCTAACGTTATGTACTGCGTCGAATGCGGTACGTCGGTATTCTTCAGGTAGGTACGGACGTATGTATGAGGTCGAAGTTTCGCAGAGTAATTTGGTGTTTGACGCGGGCAGGTTTACTTCCTTGAAAGATAAGTTGCTCTGTAAACCGAGTGTTTTAATGGTATCGCTGTCGCGTTCTTGAGCTATTGCAAGTTGATTGTAGTCGATCGGCGATGGACATGTGATTGCGTCGATGCGTGATAATGCGTCTGCGGCTGCATTTTGAGACCCACTGACGTGACGTATATCAGTGGTAAATTCGCTGATATAAAGTAGCTGTCGGGTGCGTCTCGGTGATTCGCTGTTTGTATTTGATTTGGTGTAAGCGAAAGTTAGCGGCTTGTGGTCCGTGAATATTATAATTTCTCGCCCCTCGAACATTTTGCGAAAATGTTTGACAGCCATGTAGATGGCGAGTAGCTCTCGATCGTAAGTACTGTAGCGAGTCTGTGCGTCGCTGAATTTCTTCGAAAAATAGCCGAGTGGTTGCCACGAGTCGTTGATAAACTGGTTGAGCGCGGCACCAGCTGTTTTGTCACTCGCGTCGCTGAATATAGCAAGCGTCGCATGGTGAGACGGATGAGCGAGTAAAGCAGCGTTTTTTATGCTCTCTTTACATGCTTCATAAGCTTGCGTCGATTCAGCGGTCCAGTCGATCTTAGTTTTGTCACGCTTCTTGATGTTGTGCAGGTAAGTATTTAGCGGCGCTTGTATGGTGGCGGCATCTTTGATATTTTCGCGGTAAAAGTTGATCATACCGAGAAAACGTCGCAGTTCCTCTACGGTTTGTGGCTTTGGAAAATCTGTGATAGCCTGTACTTTCTCTTGGGGTGGCTGTATTCCTTCCGCCGTGACTTGATGACCGAGGAATTTTACAGTTGGCTGGCCGAAAACACATTTTGATGGGTTGATGGTAATGCCGTATTCTTCTAGTCGCTGTAATACGGTGCGTAGATGTTTTCGGTGCTCTTCCTCGTCTATTGACGCGATGAGTAGGTCATCAACAAAAGGAAATACGAAGTCGAGTTCGCGCAGTACTTCGTGAATAAAACGTTGGAATGTCTGGCCGGCGTTCTTTAGACCAGGACACATACGCGGAAACTCGAAAAGGCCGAATGGTGTTATGATAGCTGTTTTCTCCACGTCTTGCTCGCTGACTGGCAGTTGTTGGTACGCGCGGTTGAGGTCGAGTGTGGAGAAAATTTTCTTCCCTGCGAGTTGGTATGTGAAATCACGTATGCGTGGTATGGGATACCGATCGGGCTTGGTTATAGCGTTGAGCCTTCGGTAATCGCCACACACCTGTAGGTGATTGATTAACGTGTCGTAATGAAACAGTGATGTGCTCTGACAAGAACACATCAGAATAGATACGGTCGTGTGTTCTGAAAAGAACAGTTTCATCGTGTCGTAGGACACGGTAATATGTCCTGACAAGGACAGTTGTTAAACGTTTTGTCGTGAAACAAGAATAATATGTCCTGAAAAGGACAGTTGTAGACGTTTAGTCGTGATACGATAATTTGTCCTGAAAAGGACAGTTATTAGCGTTATCACGACTAAACGTCTACAACTGTCCTTTTCAGGACATATTATTCTTGTTTCACGACAAAACGTTTAACAACTGTCCTTGTCAGGACATATTACCGTGTCCTACGACACGATGAAACTGTTCTTTTCAGAACACACGACCGTATCTATTCTGATGTGTTCTTGTCAGAGCACATCACTGTTTCATTACGACACGTTAATCAATCACCTACAAACCGTTTGCAGCACACAAACTATAATCAGTCTTAGGTCGACGATCGTGTAATTTCGATCGAGGGAAAACGCAGAGGTCGCTGCCAGTATCAACTAAAAACTGCATTTTCGACTTCCGATCCATGACAAAAAGACGACCAGGTGAGGTAGTGGGGCAATCGCCAGTCGCCATTATCGACTGCCCTGAGAGTTTCCCGACTTGAAGTCACACGGTCGCACACATTTGTGAGCTTCTTCTGCGAATTTGCTATGATACCAGCACACAGGAAACTTCCGGTAACTCGATGAAGATCGCTCTCTTGATTTCTGCCGACTGTTTTTTGAAGACCGAAATTGAACTCTTCTGCTGCGTAAGGACAGATTCTTGACTTGCTGACGAAGCTCTGCTATTGCCTTAGTCAACTCATTGACTAATGTAACGCCTTGTTGAACCGCAGAAACACTCGGTGCTGTAGACGCCAGGTCAACCACTCTATCAGCTAAGTCAGCTAAATCGTCTAGCGGTGCTGACACCGGTTGGCCTGCGAGCACCGTTTGTACACCATGTGGAAGACGGCTCATCCAAATAGTTTTTAAGAAATCTTCAGGTACGCCAGCGCCCGCCAAACTTCGTAAATGACGAAGAAATTGTGAGGGTTTTCTCTCACCCAACTCCTCATGCATCAATAACTGCTTTATTTTCTTCTCCCGGGATGCGCTGAGTCGCTTTATTAACTCAGTTTTAAGCTTCTCGTAGCGGTCGGAAATTGGTGGGTTGATAATTATGTCTTTTACTTCACGAGAATACTCATTGTCTAAGTGACCGATGACATAATTAAATTTAGTCGAATCATTAGTTATTCCGGATATTGAAAATTGACCCTCAATTTGGGCAAACCAAATTTCGGGTTCCTCTGGCCAAAACGGGGGAACACGTACACCAACTTTAAAAACATCGACATTCGATGGCACAGCACTAGTGGTGTCTCTGTTGATCGACATGGCGTTCACCTTTAAAATTTCTCAAGGTTAAGTTGTTTTGTACTGAAGTCCAAATAGTCGTTGAACATGTGATATTATATTATACTGTTCACTTATCACTTTTTTACACTGTACACTAATAGTTTATTCACTTCAGTAATACGGGGTAATACTGTTTAAACGAATGTTCAAGAATCCAGACCGGAATCGCCAAAACGTTTATCGGGGTCACCAGTATGGGGTAATTGATTTAACCACCATTTTAAAGTGAATTACTTTAATTTCATGTTTGGTTACAATATTCACTTAATATAATATAAAGAAATAAACATATGTGCGTCAAATACCAAGCCACTAAGCGCACTGGCTACGTACTACTGGTTACCTGCGTACACGCACACATTCACGCGCGAATCCCGCAAGACCAGTTTTTATGTAGTTCTGTGCGAGTGACGATATTACGATATCGATGTAAAATGTCGATAAAAATATGAAATTTATGTGAATATGAAATGTATGTTTATACATGTGTATGCTACAAAGTTTTTAAAACAATATACATGTTCCAAATTCAAAATTTGAAAAAAAAAGAAAAGTTTTTATGTAACAGTATTTATGGCCAGACTAGGTAAAGTTGTACTATATTTTATCAAGTCAACAACTAATGGCAAAAAAGAAATAAAAACTTGCGTAATCCATATGAATTTTTCATTTATTTAATCACTTTTAATTGCATGGTTTGTTTAGACATGACAATTCCCCCTTGTACATACTACTTTGTAGCCATATTGTGGACCGTTTTAAGGAAAATAATTAAAAATGTTAAACATTGTTTTTAAATAAAACAAGAGAACATAACATTATTTATTTATTGATGATAATACATAGATAATGAAGGATGCATAATTCGCCATATTAAGTTAAAAGTACACATATGCAACTAGTTTCTTACACAATTGCACTTTATAATAAAAAATAGCTTTAATTCTAAAAAAAAAAAACTTCAGTTGTCAGATTGTTGTAGAGTAAGTAAAATTAACATAATTGTCACCAATTGGTTACCTGTACCAAACTAGGTAAGAATGTAGTAGATTTTTCAAAGCTTTCTACGAGCTCTTGGTCGGTGGTAAGACGGTCGCGGAACGCGAATTTGTTCGCCACCGTCAACGGTCTGTGGACATGTTTCCTCAAGCGCCTCTGCTCTCGGAGTAAACAGCTTTCTTCGGCTGCGAGTTACACTAGAAAGTAATTACAAATTGTTATATTGGCTTAAATGTCCTTTTGTTTCATTCATTTCAATAGTTGGCAAGAATACCTAGACGATAAAACTTCTACCACAGTAATCAGTATGAATGTGTTAAAAGCGTGACATATTGATATTTCATTTTGCGTCGTCGTGTTTTTATTGATGGAATTGTTAAAACACAATAAGAATGACCCACATGATTTGGTGGTATGGTCTAACAATTACTATAGATGCTATAAATTCTTATAGATGCTTTTCTACTAAACAAATAATAAAACTGTACTTGACAAAAATAACTTACGATTTGGATGGACAGCTTTGTATGCCTAGTATTGGAGATATATTTTCTTCATCATCTTTTACAGGCGAAGGAATATCTTCTACCAGTTTAGTTGGCGCAGGCAAATTCATAGTAACGTCACTAAATTCAGCTTGCAAATTGGCTATGTCCTTAAATTTTAGTTCACCGTCGTCTTTGCGCCGGCGCAGTCTAAGATTTCGTTTTGGCTTTGATTCACATTTTGCTTGAGTTTCAATCAGTATTTCATCATTGCCATCAAATGTTTTAACCTTATCCTGATCATTTTTATTATTTCCTAACTGAACTATTTCTTCTTTAGTATGTTGAGCTCTGGTTTTAATAGATTTCTGTCTTAAATTATATTTTGTTTTAGCCTCCGGTGGGGGAGGAGCTTTCTCTTCAATGGTGGATACCAATAAATCAAATTCGGTCACACGTGGCAAGGTGATATTCTTGTAAATATCCTCAAAAGCATCTAAAGTATTGTTAATTGTTGCATTTGCAATTGATATGTCATTTGATGTCTTTTCGTTAACATCATTGGTATTTTTTGAATGTTCTTTTACCTTCTCCAATTTGGTATTTCCATTTAATGGTAATGGTACTTTAAACAAATCGCATGGTTTAGGTAAATAATGTTTAACATTTAATGATGCATCATCAATTGAAATGTGTGATTCTGTTCTTATTTCATCTTCTAGAATGTTTGATTTAGTCGTAGTTTCAATTTCACGACTTGTTTCGATTAACGGTGAAAGGGATTGACGATTTTTTAATTCCTTTTCGTCTATTTCGATAACAATAGTTTCTTTTTTACTATCATTTGCTGTTTCTTCCTCAATGTGAGAAACATCGACTATACTCAGTTTTCGTATGTTTTCTACGATAATGTTGTCAGTTCCGCTTTTTTCATTTATGTTATCTTTATCTAATAAGGGAAAGCTAGGGATAGTTTTATTCATACTCGACTCTTGAGATTTCTCTCGTTGTAAATTTTTAGGGCTTTCTAAGGATTCAATATTATCTCTAGGCTTGTTATGCTTATCGCTGAGAATAATTTCTGTATTCCCTGGACGTGGTGATTCAAATAAATCAACAGATTCTTGAGAAGCTTCAAATGTATGTTTTAGAATTACACAGTCGAAACTTTCCTTGAAATCTGTTTCTTTGTTCCCTTTAAGTGTATCTTGGTCTACATTTAAATGCTCGGGGTTTTCATGTAGAGCAACAAATTTCTTTTTCAAAAGCGTTTTAATCATACTGGGCTCATAATTGTCATTCTCGTCATCTTGAACGATAGATGGTGACCTCTCATCATCTATATTAGTTATGACCAGTTCAGAATGTTTTTCACTATCATAAAAGAAACCTTTGGTGTTACTGGGTAAATTTTTACCAAATTCATTTGGCGACAATGATTCTGCAGGATTACAATTATTTGATTCCATTTCGAATTGTTCGAACTGAGCTAACGAATCATTTCTAAATGTGTTTTTAATGTCAGTAACTGTTTTGGCAAGGGAAATACTTTTCTTAAAGAGGATTTCCGGTACATCATCAACCTCATTATCACACTGAAAGCCCTCATCTATGGACGATTCAATTGCTTTATTTGATTGGTCATTTGAAGTGCCACAATATGTTCCCCTAGCATCTGTTTTCTTAGGAATTACATTATCTTCATTAAAAAAGAAAGGGCCTTTGTTACCCGATTTAAAACTGACAAGGTCCAAATTGCATTCTTCATTTTCCAAATCATGACATATATTTTTTTTACATGTAGTCATTACATTATCACTTGATTCGTCACTATCATCTTTTAATGTGTCATCCAAATCCGAAACATAGTCCGTTCCATTATCGACATCAATTACTAGACTTTGTCGAAGTAATCTAGTCCTATTAATATCTTCTTTTTTAAATGTCGGTTCGAGACTTTCATTGCACAATTCGTCTTGTTCCTCTTCACTATCGGACTCAGTTATGGATATGTCATCGTTGTTTGATACTTCGTCATTTCCTGTAAACGTTATTGGTTTATATTAATAAAATATAAAACTAGTTTTGTTTATATTAGATTATAACACTAATTGCATAATTTATTACCATCCCTCTCTTCAATACAGGCTCGTAAATGCTGAATCTCTTCTTCTGCTCTTGCACGCGCTAACTCCTCGGCCGTTAATTTTTCCTATAAACAAACGTTTTATATGTACGAACTGCTGGAATACAATTTTTTATTGTTTTCCCATATCGATACAATTATTAATAAACTTTAATTACAAGTTTCTCTCTCTGGGTTGGTAATGTATCGTAGTCAGCTCCAGAGTGCTTCCACCGATTTTTTTTAAAGCTTTGTCTTAATTAGGGATGCATCCGATACCGATATACTTTGGGTTTGCCGATATATCGGAATCGGCGATATTTTAATTGCCGATACAACGATACTTTTCAAATTTCGCGCTTTAAAAATGTAATGTAGACGTGCGTTGATCTAGTGCAAACGAGGCACGGACTATCCATGCCCAAAAAACCCCCTCGTTTTATTCAGTTTGTTGTCTCTCTCACCCGCTTTGTTCCCGCGTATTCCATTTCCATTTGACACTAGTTGGCTTTTAACTGCTTTTGCGCGTAGTATTTTTTCGATACCAAATTAAATAAAATTTAGAATAACATATCGTAATTAATTAGTTTGTTTGTGTATATCGATTATGTCTCGTTGTTTGAATTATTAAATGAACAGCAAGATCATGTCAACTTTGAAATACGAAAGTGCTATATGAAATCATTTTCAAAAGTTCCACATTTGATAATTCCAAAGCAATATGTTTGTATAAATAAATGTGTCCCGTGCTATCAATTCTAAAAATTATAATACATCAAACTTGTGGATTCACATGAAGAGGCACCATTCGAGCGAATTGGACAGAGCTTTAACGTCAAAAACAATGGCTTTGAAGCGTTTGTGAAAATATTATTAAAGAGGGAGAGGGGAATGAGCCCTGTCCACTCTAAGCTTTAATTCTCTCAAAGAGGAAGTCGAGAAATACCTAAGATCTCCTAATATATCGAGAGACGCAGATCCGTTTGCTTTCTGGCGCAATAATATATTTTACTGAAACCTAAACTGGCGCAGAAGTACTTCATCTTTCAAATGAGCAGTACTTTATCTTTCATCTTTTAATGTTGAGTAATCGACTTTCTGCCCAAAACATGTGAATGCTTTATTTTTTAAACCAAAATTTTATGAATGTTAATTTTAATTCTTCACAGTTATAAATTATTATTTTTTTACCTTAATTTTAATAACTAAACATTTAATCTTATTTAAAGTTTGTGACTGTTTATATTTTTTTGTAAAAATTAAAAACTTTAACCAAACTTGATATATTTTGCCTTAATTTAATTTTAATTCACTAAGCGTTGGAATCGGTATCGGCAAAAAGGCGTATCGATGCATCCCTAGTCTTAATTATAAATATTAAACAATTTTATATATTTTAGTTTTGCTTTGTAAATACCTTTAATGTAGCAATTTCAGTCATAAGTTGGTCAATCTGAAAAAAAAAAACAACTATGTAGCACCCTAAAACCAATTAGAATTGCTAATTATTATATTTGTAATATTTAATTTGATATCAGTTATTTTTTTAAAATTACCTTGAATCCTTTCGGCCCCATGGCCATTTGTTCCTTCAAATCACTTATAATTTCCTCATATTCTTCTTTCAACTCCTCTATCTATAATAAATATAAAAATCAACCGAGATGAAAAATGTAGATCATTAAAAAAAAGCACGAAACAATTAATACTATAATTATAATATTATTAGGCAGTGTATTGTCTCTTTCTGTGAAATTTACACTGTTATTAGGCCATATTACTGTTTTTCTCAAAATACTAAAGGAGATTATCTAAAAGCCATTGAGAGATTTGGCGAAGACCTAGATGAGCGAACAGTGTGGTTAGAATAAGATGTTAGGTAAGGGTGTGTGGGTGTATGGGTGTATGGGGTCATTTATTAAAATACCTCTCTCTTAAGCGCTTCTATATGTGGCTCATAGAACTGCCGACTGCTCTCTTTGGCCAAATCGACTAACTCCCGCGTAGTGATTGCATTTGTTGCCTGTTTTTCGTCTATCAAAGCTGTCAATTCTTCATTATAGTTTTGAGATCTGAAATTTAACAACATTATCACAATAACAATCATGTTTATACCTTATAAATAACAAGAATCAGTTATATTCCAACTTAGGGATCAGTCCAAGTTAAATCAAAATCGGCTCAGTAGTTTTAGAGATATGGATAACTACAAATATCTGGAGTTTTCTGTTATCCTTATTAGTTGTCAAGTATTTGAAGTTACTATATAAATATTACTTTTATCTATACTCAAAATTATATACTATTAAAAAGAGGATTTTTTTATTTTGAATGTTTCTAACGAATACACTAAAAAACTACTGGACCAAAAAAAAAATATTATTGTAACGCTATATCCCTGAGTAACATAGTCTATATTTATGACAGAAATATATATAAGCAGCATGACCGCCCTAAATTTTTTTAAGAACTGCTAGGCGACTGACACTTCAACTCAACTTACTGTAATAATTCATAGTGGAGTCTTTCATTAGAGGTCCGGAGCTTCATCAACTCGGCACATACACTGTTATTCAAGTCATGAGTGCTACTCTCAAGTGAGCTTGGGTAATCGGAAACTGTGTTGTTTATTTCTGAAACAAAGTGCATACAAACTGTTACCAAGGGGAAAATAGTCTTAAGGTGTAGTATTTTTTTTTAATTTTTGTGCTTTTTATGCTTTATGACAAAAATGGTTTATCTCACAATGTGCATTGACACTGGCCTTTGAAAAAAAATTAAACGATTGCGTTTCTTTTCATTAGTAATTGTAATTTAATCGAGAATTCGTTTTTACTTAGCTCATATAAGCATTATACTGTAGTATGGTATCACTCGAAGGACAATGCGATTTCATCCTTAAACACTTGGAATTGGTCATTAGAATCTCTTAGTTACAATGTATTTTAATGTATTTCATAGGTTTTTTTCATGGCCGAATAGTGGGTACATATATTATTTATGTCTGTTATTACATATGTATTTTTTGTAAATGTATGCGTGTACTAGTGTACACACGTAAGAAGTGAAACTTCTTATGACCTTATTTTACGAAAAATGATCTACTATATGCAACTTTACAGAAATTGGTTAAATAAAGTTAACTTAGATAAAGTTTAAAAAGGGCTTTTATTATTATAGACATAGATAGAACAGAATAAATAAATAGAATACAAATAATACAATTATTTCATTCTGCCTTATTACTACATTGTTTTTAATATAAATTTTATCAATTTTATGAACGCACTACAAGATTTTTGACATAAATAATAATTATTTAAAAGCATAATTTCTATTTATAACTAAACATAATACTGCAATATTACTTAAATATGACGTGACAAAAATTATCTAATATAAATAACAGTACGTTGCGGTAAGCCTGAAGTTAGTTTTCAGAGGTAGGCAAACTTCACAAACAACAAATCAATAAACTGGATCCGAAATCGCAGGACAAGAAAAAGATGGCCCAATGGAAAAATGTGACGACGTCACGTGACGTAATTTTTTTTCCAACGCCGATAAAGAAGTTTTACTTCAATAACAGTTATAATTGGTTTTTTACAATTTAACATTTTAGTCAAAAAATTGGATTTTGCCATAAACATGACGGTGGATATTGTGTCAAATAACTCACGTAAGTCCTTAGCAACAGCGGCCAATTGTAGCACGTGTTTTGTTTCGTGTGCGTATTCCGGTGAAGGGTTAAGCGTGACAACCATCGTGACCGCTTCGCCGCGAGTGCCCGAGAGAACCCGCGCCAAGGAGACGGGTTAATTTTGACTCCCTGAAATGTTCAAAAATTCGAATAAATTTATACATATTCTTTATTATTATAGTTAACTCTATCGCTAAGCAGCTGGTGAAATAATCGCTCTCTTTTATCAGCAGCGCATGTCTGAGCGTTGTGGTCAGCAAGTAAGCGTCTGGAGCGGACTATCTACTTCCACCGGTTTCTGTCCAGCGGCTCTTTTATAACAGTGTACAGTTTTGAGGACGATGAGTCTTTCACTTGATCGGTCCATCTGGTTGGTGAACGGCCACGTGATCTTTTGCCTTCTGTGTTACCAACCACTATCAGTTTCTCCAATTCTCATCGCCTATACGCATTGTATGGCCGAAATAAGATACAGTGTAATAATTGCTTACTATTATTTCCTACCCATTTAATACTTTAAGAGGCATTGAAATTATACTTTAAAATCTATTTAAATAAAACTTGAGTCTGCGGCTATGACTTCATACCCTGAAACGTGCTAACGAAGTTATAACATTGTGTCAGGAGGTGGTTAACGAGATATTAAATCTATTAGATTTGAAATTGGTGAAGTTATAACAGTCATGTCTAATAAACTATCTTTTTTTATTAAAAGTATGTTTTATTTGAGACTACAGACCTTAATACATGCTTTGATACATAAAACTATTATTACCAACCATTCATTGCCATTATTACACGTCATTCAAACTGTTTATTAAAATATATTTATAGGTTTTCTTAATATTATCTAAACATTTAATTAAATAAGCAACATAATAAGAACATTCTGTGAACCTAAAACTTAAAACCAAAAACAATACAATATAATATCTAAAGTATATTATTAAAATGAGTCTCTTTAGGCAAGTTTCCGAAGATACTGGCAGCATTCCCCCTTTGAATATATAAGAAACAGTAATATTAATAGGTTTATAGATTACCGATAAGGTACTACAGCGCGGTTAGTAACGGCCTGCTTCCGTCGAAGAGAGTGGAGACATCTTTCCAGGACGTGCAATGACGTGTTAATCGCACGTGACTCTTGCATACGAGCACCCGTGTTGCGCGTACGACGCGCTCGCTCGCTTCCCGCCAAGTCGCATAGACGTACACATGACGTCACGATACTGCCATCTGGGTAATTGACGGTAAATAATTTAAAAAAGGAACAACCATGATAAATACATATCGATAATATAATCTTGCTAATGGTCATGGTACAAATATGACAGTTCAAACATTAAAATCCTTATTATAAGAAACAATATTTTAGTATGGTGGTGCTTCAAGATAATATAAGTAGATAAATAGTTATAAATAATAGTGTTGGCATTAGAATTGTATATGTTTATCTTTATATATATAATTCTTCTGTGAGTGTGTATGTCACTGAACTTCTCTCAAACGACTGGACCGATTATGATGAAATTTTTTGTGTGTGTTCAAGGGGATCTGGGAATGGTTTAGATTCACAAATCAGCCCGGCAGATGGCACTGCAGTCGGTACTTTCATACTTTGCTTAATATCCTAATCGCTTTAAATATCATGCAGGACAAAGTCTGTGGGGTCCACTAGTTATTATTTATTTTTCTTAATAAGCATTAGGTGATCAGCCTTCTGAGTTCTGAGCCTGACACACACCATCGACTTTTGGGTCAAAGGCATGCATAATTACTAACACATAAACTATCAAACCTTTTTCCGTAAGCATAGTAATGGTGAAAATGCAGTGTGAGCGCGATGATTGTGCGTGTACACCGGTCGCCGCAACTTGTAAATTATGTTTTCCAGCTACCATTACATCATATGCTTCTTCACCAGAGCGGACAAAGGCTTGAGTGGCTCCCTGTACCCAGAAAAAAACGAAGATATTTTTTTTTATTCAGAAGATTCACAGCACAATACAGAAATAGATGTATATATATATATATATATATATATATAACATTGTGGGCCAATTACAATTCTTCACATATAGTTTTTTTTCTTCATAAAACAAGAAGGTAAACATGCCAAATATTTTTAGTGTAAAACAAAAAAGAAAAAACAGAATTTAATTAGTTAAAGTGAAAGGATCAATGCACTTCATTCATCATGGTTGAAATAAGTCAAAACTTTCCTTTCTGTACTCACACTCTCAGCGAACATATCAATGACAATCGTTAAGTCATTAAATTCTCTATAATTTGTGTTTACTCTGGGTACATGTAATAGGTTCATGATTCTAAGTGTTTTGTTATATGTTCGAAGGTTTATTTTGCTTACTAGCTTGGTACAATAGACCGCACCAGTAGCAATTTTCATAAGGTAGATAGTATCCGCAATATCACGTCGTAATGATAATGGTAACATGTGAAAATGTTTACACCGTCATACACCGGTATTTATTTTATAGTAATATAATCATAAAAATTTAAATATCTTACCTTTACATACACATTTCCATTTGAATCTTCCCGAATCTGAAGTTTTGCCGCTCTACGATCAGACCCGGCAAGTAAGTCATAAATACCTTCATTGTATATTTCGATAAAGGAAACCTGGAAACGTACAATGAATTTATTACTATAAGTAAAAACAAATATTATCAATACTTAATTAAATTGCAGTGTAAGTTTCTTTATTTAAGTCAGCACAAGGAAGTCTGTAGTCGGAAGTCATCTATTATAATGAATAAAACTGTGTCAGCTTCCAGCTCTTTTCACACCATTCGTTATATCCTTCATATTATAATATTTCAATGTCTCAACCAGATAAAAAATCTAAGGTAGAATTCTCTAATCAGTAAAGGAGATGGGGTCAATTAAATAAGAGACCTTTAAAGCATGCTGATTTAATGCAATCCAGTTTTACTATCAAAATTACATAATAAATACTTACCCAAATATAATGCTTCGATTTTGATAAGTCTAAAACACTACCCCTTAAGTCTGTTCTTAGTTGACAGCTCATTCTTCTATATTTATCTCTTAATGAGGCAGATAATTTCCTTAATCTCTTCACAAACTGGAATAAAACAAACTTTATATATTATTGGATGAATAACACAATATTTTCATATGCTGCACTAACCAAAAGTTAACAGAATTGCTAATTGAGAGAAGCATCTTAAATCTTACCAATAGTTCATATTCTTGAGAAGAATAACTCAAAGAGTCAAAGCCTCTTTCAGCTGGCTTATAAACTGGATGTGTCTGGACTTCTAGATTATTAAATAAATATTCTAACGACCTTGGCACTAAGCCTGGAGATGCCACAGTGCCCATAAGTGTATATGTTTTCCCAGAACCTGATGCACCATAAGTAAGCAAGGTAAAACTTCGACCTTCTGCCAACTTTTTTAAATTATCCTTTACTACATGGTCAAAAATTTCCTGCAAATTTTAAAGTATTAATTATATATGGTAAAAAAGGTAAAAAAAATTTAAACTAAAAAATAGGCTTACTTTTTGAGATATATTCTCAGGAAATATATGTGAAAATGTGTACATTTTGGATACATGATGTTGTGTCTTTCGTCCATGGCCCGCTGTAGTTGTGTCGAGAGAGGTAATCAAATATCTATCACCTCGAACTTCGTATAAATTGCTGGGGATAGTACACGGTTTTAAACGCAAATATACTTGCACTAATTCTGGTTCATCACACGTTGATTCTTCGTCAAATAAATCCATTAGATTAGTGCCCTTTTGTGGACGGCGTCTCATAAACGGATTAGTAATAAGTGGAGGACGGGGTTCTATAAACGAAGGCACATCTCGTTTGCATTCAGGATTCGAAAAAATATCTGACATAGCTACCTACATATGAAAATATTATTTTATATTTGAATGTACACTGAACCATAAACCTCTGTTTTTGTAAAAAAAACTGTCGACAATTTTAAACGCACAATTCAAAATAACAGTCGTTGTAAATTGAGAATGCTACAGAATAAAAATTTGCATACACAAAAACGATTGGCAATTCCATATAAATATGAATATTTAAAAGGTATCTTGTGTTCTTGATATTTTAATTGAGGAAACTTGTTTAATATAAACAACTGTTTTTTTTACTAAGTTTCAAAAAAGTGAAACCTGTCAATTTCTCATTACCTTTAGAAAAGGTATTTTACTTATTTATTACATGCTAAGTTGTAATGAATCTATAAAAAACAAGTGCTATTCTATTAAGGTACTTTAAATTTTCCAATTAACGTCTAATTAATAAGCTTTAAAAATTTATAATTGAATCTTAGACATTTGTGGATTACCTATCATCATTGATTACCTATAGTGAACCATTTATAATCTGTCGTTATTGACTTTGACAAGTTTTTACAATTAATGTCGACCAAAAGTTGTGTGTGCTTGTATTGTTGTTTATTTTTCAATACTTACATTGAACATTGTAATTTCTAAAAACAATTAACTCTTCCTATAAGCACCCTACTATAAGAATTTATTTTCACAATTACGTAGTTGTTGTTATTTAACATTTCATATTTAGCTTTGTCTAAATGTGCCAGTAAAGTGTTCAAGAATTTATGAGGGCTGAAGATGTGATAATTAAACGAATTTGGCTTTCTGCCATTCTCTGGTTTTATGTTTAAAAGCAAAATGATTTGGTTATCATTTATTGTGTGGCTTGTAGTAGTAGGAAAGTCAATAGGATTCTGTCCATCATTATGTTCATGCAAAGGTACAAAAGTGGGTGATGGTGAACCTCAACCTGAAGAGCCCTTAAAGTTAAGATGTGGAGGAAGTCCAACACAAATAACTGAACTGAAAGAGATAGATCTTACTAAACTACTGGCAGTTGTTGTCAGCTTGTAAGTTAACAACATGTAATTAATATTTTTAGTCAACTGCATGCTTATTTATTGATTTCAAATATCACAAGCTTTATATTTTTGACTACATTTTGAATAAAAATTAAAAATCATATTTCATTGAAACTTTTAATTTTGAATTGTGGAATTGTTGCAGAAACTTATCAGGCAATGCAATAACAACACTCTCCCGAGAACTTAATTTACCAAAGTTACAAAAACTGTAAGTACTTGTTTGGAATTTATTTATTTTGCATATAAAACATTTTATTGTAAAATATAGTGGAAATATTCATGATGAAATCATTTTTTACAACTTCTTTTTCAGAGACTTAAGTAAGAATCAAGTTAATTTGATAGAATCTGATGCATTCTACAACATGACATCAATACAAAGACTGGATTTATCGCACAATCAAATAAGAAATGTCTATAAAGAAATGTTTAAGGGTCTCATTAACTTGGAAAGATTGAATTTATCACATAATTATATCTCTGTGCTTAACACAGGCACATTTGACTATCTTGTTGGTTTGAAACAAATGTAAGTATGTCTCTACTATTGAAAATGATTATTGGTTTATATTTATAATATTAATTTTTATAAAATAATATTATCATATATCATGTTTTAAGAAAAGTTATGAAATTTGATTGCCATTTTTTACCAATTAAACATTGTGTTGAACAAACACAAACCTAATACTAAACTAAAAACTAGGCATTATATAAAATAATACAAAATAATTGTAATTATAATTTTATTCCAGCGACATAACAGAAAATCCATTGAATTGTGATTGTAACCTTTTATGGTTTGGTGACTGGATAAGGAATACAAGTGTAAGGCCAGTGGGTGGCCCCAAATGTGCATTTCCAGAAAATATGGCTGACAAGCTAGTCAAAAAACTAAAAATCTTTCTCGATCTTTCTGCATGCGGTAGTGTCTTACCAGCAAACAATCTAATTGTAAGACCATCACATGATCAAGTGGTGTTTGAGGGTGATACACTAAGTTTGACATGTAGTGCACCATTTGCATCTGTTATTGCAAAATATGAGTTAAACTGGGTGCATTCTATGCAAGAATGCTGTGCTGATGTGAACATAACGAGTACAGATATGCAAGAAGAAGGATTGGCGGAAACAACAGTATTCTTTCCATGTGTTTCAAACCACCATGCTGGGAATTGGACTTGCTCATACTGTGACCAGAATCATATTAAGCATAACTATACAATTCAGCTCATTGTCTTATCAAACTATACACAATACTGTCCTACAGATACTACAACAGGGAACAAAGGGTTGTATTCTTGGCCCCAGCTGTTATTGAACCATACAGCATCTGTACCGTGCCAGAGTGGTGATGGATTAGCATATAGACATTGCTATGCGAATGTGACGTGGGGTCAAGCTAATACCACAGAATGTTCATACATAAGTAATATAACCAAGTTGTTGCAGCAATTTGCCTTATTAAATGTTAGCTTGGTACAATTTTCTGCAATAAATGCTACTGAAAGACTGGCCATGTTGATTGAAGAGAAGACATATCCGTTAGCAGAAATTTCAGATGCTGATGATGTTATGTTTATTGCCGCTGCTATTAGAAATTATATGCAGTACATAGGAGAAGAGAAGGATTTAGGTAAGTCATCTTATAATTCACTATCAACTATACTTGCCATATATGTATGTAAATAGCAAACATTGATTCTTATTCTTATGATGTATATATGTATGTCATTTTAAAATATTTCTTAATTTAAAATAATCAAAAAATTATAATATTTTATTGAAGTTTGGCAGTCTTAGAACCTGTGTCACATATGAATTTAGTCTATCAAAATCATTTAATTAAACCTTTGAACCTTTTTATGGGATCAAAATGAGTTAACACTCACTGATTTGGGTACGTTCAAGTATTACGTCACGCAATTTTTGGAGATGACCCCCCCCATGTATCGCGCCGTAACGTTTTTGTGTACCCAAGTATAGTAAAATGTTTCGTGACCACTTAGTGACTCTTTATACCTAAAAGTTACCATTATGTGGTGTAAAGTACTGGAAAATTTAAAATAATATTAACAATAACGCGTAATTCAATCCCCGCCTCGCATCGTAACGTTTTACAAAAAGACCCCCTCCCCCCAAAATTTGTTACGTAATACTTGAACCCTCCCTTTTACAGCAGGCACAGGTTGTTTTATAGGTCTAAATCTACTTATTTCTTTATTAGATTATTGGTATTCCTATAGGTAGCTGGTTTTAGTTATAATAGAGATATAAGCCCAATAGGGAATACCTTAAAACACAAATGTGAAACACAGTTAACAGTTTAAAATAAATATAATAATTTAAAAGAAATAAACAAAAATACAGTTTTAATTTTTTTTACGAAATAAAAAACTATATCATTTAGTTGAAACCAAAGGGACAAACCTAGGCTGATATGTTTAAGTGTATTCAAAACAAATGTTTTTTTAGTTTTGTTCTAAAATTAATATTTTTTCAGGTTCAGCTTTACTGGAAGTGATAGAAGCGGCTATGAATATATCAACTCCAGTGATGTCCCAAGCGGAAGTTACGCATGGTGCGTGCACCGACATGGTGAGAGCTGCTGAAGAAATATCCACACATACAGACAATGTTCAAGGACACAAGGTATTTTTTAAATCTTTTTAATTTTTGAATTTATACTTCTTTAGGCGCGTTATGAAAAATTGATAAGAGTGAAATTTTACGATGCCCGCGCACCGTGACACAAAATTAACAGAATGAAGTTGCTCACGGAAGATGCTACGGCATTGGACATTATTTAACAACATCTTTCAAATAATAATAGAATTTGTAAGTCCTGGCAAAAATCATATAGTAATCTAATGCTATCCCTGAATTTTATTAGATTGAATTAAATTTCTTTTTTTTACGTTAAAAAAAATTAATACGTCACATCTTAAACTATTGTTTGTTGTGTGTGTTACAACTCTGTGATTCATTGTGAACAAGACAAATTACAATATAATTGTCTAATAATACAGAAAAAGATGGCGGTGGAGCGTTTTCCCGCTCGTGAAGGTTTTAGTGGAGTGACGTGTGTGTGGTACAGCGGGATGACGGATAGGAGGCTTCACTGCTCGACAACTAATAGGACTGTGGCGCCATTACTCACCGTCACTGATGCACTTATACACGCTAGTGTACAGGTATGAGACTAAAACTGTCATTATTTATATTCTATTGAAATTCTGCTGAATCCTCAGAGTCAAGACTTTATTTTTTATTCGAATTGAGTGTATATTAAAAGTTGTGGCTAACTAAATTAATCTTATCTTATCTTAATATATATAAATTACGTGTCACGTTGTTTGTCCGCGATGGACTCCTAAACTACTTAACCGATTTCAATCAAATTTGCACACCGTGTGCAGCTTAATCTAACTTAAAAGATAGGATACCATCTTAATTTATACCCGCAATATTATTTTATTGCAAATTATTTGTTTATTATTTGACAGTCACAATTCTAACAGATGGCGCTGTGTTGAAAGTACCAACGTTTCACATAAGCTACAGTTTAATGGCATAACCACCATGGTGAACTCCATGACTGGTGTTCTCCTACCGTTTCCCTTGAATAGTTTACTACAATGTAATATAATAAAAACCTTAGCCACAGCAACGCTTGGCCGAGTCTGCTAGTTATATTATATTTGCTAGTATGTAAAAAGTATTTATTGTTATCATTAACATTTCCTTGTACAAGTTAAATAAGACTACAATTTCGTTAGTGTAAGGGGCTATCTCCACGAGCGAGTAAATCGCAACGATACAATCGTCCTGCCACGTATTTCTATACAATCTCATAGAACGTGTCTCCACACGGCGATCTTAACGCGGCGATGCGACGGGTGGTTGAGTGCGCGCGAAACGTCATTACATCGCTGCGAGCCTGTCGCTACTCGTGGCGCGCACGTCGCGCACTCGCCACGGAACGTGGTGCTCTCGCAGAGAGCGCGCGACGTGCGTGACAATACATCAATAAAAACAATACATCTCAATAATACATCCATAGTAAATAATTATTTTATTGACTGATTTAGACACTACTTATTTTGGTCTCGTCTGGCACCAATGAGCTCTACATGAACACTGAACAAAATAAGAGCACAACGTGTCGTCAAAGAAATGCAGCGATTCCGTTACGAGTCGTTGCGGATACGCTGTGATTTACGAATCGCGACGACACGCTGGCGGAAATAATCGCTCGTTCGTGGAGATTACCCGACGATAAAAGCGCGGACTCGTCGCAATTCTCTCGCTTGTGGAGACGGCCCCTAAGCGTCGCCCAGATAGCATTTTATTTATGTTTACAAGAGAGATTCTACAATTAATTCTACAATATTTGATGGTGCAGCGAGATACATGAGAAGAGGCAGTACGGCTTCCCGCGGCTCTTGCTTTACCCTCCTTCCCATTTTTTATGAATTTAATAATTAAAAAAAAAGCATTTATAGACTCAGTAATTTCTTCTTCGTTTTTTCTTTCTTTTCACTCAATGTAGAGGAAGTATGAGGTGAAAATATTTAGTCTCAAAAAAAAAAAAATTAATTTCAAATTAAATTATGGAAATATATGATAGAGGACGGAAGCTAAAAAGATTGTCTTGATAATATTTTAATGCTTATTTATATAAAACTAATGTAAAAAGTAAATAAATTTTATTAATTTATTTTAAAAATTAATTACAAATTGACACATAGTTGTGTCCTAAGTATCATTTTCGCGAGCAATGGTTTTACCGTCTTTCAGATTCCCCAATCACTGCTGTACAGCACGACAGATTCGGGTGTACTTTTGCAAAGTCAACCCCAAGAACTAGTTGTATCTTTCTACGAGGATGCCTCCTTGTTCCCGCTACTTCCAAGTATGGATGAAGGAAACATCAGGGGTCACAGGTCAAAGGACTACTATGGCCGAAGTACTAAACGCGAGGATATGAATATGGAAATTACATCACCGGTGGTTGGATTTCAATTGGGTGAGTTTTGACTAAAGATGATGAGGGTTTAAATAAATAAGTTTGATGATTAGATTTTTTAACTTTATTACTTTATAAAATAAAAAAAAGCAGTGGCGATACAACCTTTTTAGATCTTCGTCTTAGATTTCTGTATCTCTATCATGATTATTTGTCAATCATAACAGGCAAGTAGGTGATCACCCTCCTGACACACGCCGTCGACTTTTTGGGCCTAAGGCAAACCGGTTTCTTCACGATGTTTTCCTCAGCCGGGGATCGAACCTACGATCTCAGGGATGAGAGTAGGCCAAGACTGCTCTCTCTCTCTGTTTATTACTTTATACTCACTGAATTATACACTTACTAAGATTTTATTTGATGATATTTTAAATATATATTAGAATTGAAAATTCCTTGTATGTATATATAATATATATAGAAGAATAACACATAAGTCTTAGTTGTATTTTTTTTGAGTGTATACAAATTATCTTTACATTTTCTTTGAAATAAAAATCAATCTTTCATTGACAAAAGTTATTTACCTATATATACTAATGGTTTCAGATAAGGTGTCTGTCCGCGGTGAGCTTCTAGAGCCCATAATAATAACAGTACGTCTATCGTGTGGTGGTGGCGTTGAAGCTCGTGCTGCTGTATGGGAACACACCACGAGGCGGTGGACTGATAATACTACCGGTAAGTAACTTACTACTAAGTGGCAAGGGCCAGACAATTCTGTGACTGTTCATTGTTTTTGGAGGGGAGATGATTACGCAAAAGATTTTTTGTGTGTGGCTTATTTAACAATTGTATTTCTTTATTTGCAGTATTATCAAATATAAATGAAATAATATGACACTTAAAAGTATTTTTTCAATAATCAATTCTAATACAATACATGAAAAACTATACTCTGATTTTTAATTCCGTAGAATTCTGACTGCTAAATTTTTTTGACATGTGAGAGATTATAAACCTTTATGGCCATACATCTCAGTATACATACATTTTATTTATCAGTGAATGTGTCCATTTTAATTTCCGGTGCTTCACATTAAAAGTGAAGTTCACGTCCCTTTTTGTCACAAACAGTAAAAAAACGCACAAGTAAAGATAAAATAACATTTAATTTTTTATAAAGGTTTACTAAACCTGGAATTAGTAGGCAGTGATGCCAGCTAAAGTAATTAAAGTTAAATATATATATTATATGGGTCAAATTTGTCCCTGTTTCGGTGGAAAACTTTTTAGTAGCAACACTTATGAAATGTCAGAATTCTACGGAATGAAAAATCAGGGTATAGTAATTTTTAATTAAAATTGATGATTTTATGTTTCAGACTGTCGCATATCGCACGTTGTATCAGAAATGATAATCATCAGTTGTAATCGCTTAGCGTACGTTGGGTTGCTTCAAAATGTCGAAACGGGCATATACGGGGCTCGCACCGACGGAGCTCGCTTCAAAGTCTCTCATCCGGCTGTGTACGTCGGGAGCCTTATTCTCATCGGCTGCGTCAGCTGTGCCACACTCACGTACATAATGTGTCACGCCAGTATACAGATGCCCAAAAAGTCTAAACACGCGCTAATAAACACCTGGATTGCGATAGGGTTGCTATGTTTCTTGTACACTTTAGGCATCTACCAGACCGAGGACGTCAAGCTTTGCCAGGTTTTGGGCCTTTTGATCCATTATCTATCTTTGTGCTGCCTTCTTTGGATGTGTGTGTCGGCTAGTAACATGTACAAGTGGGTCACGAAAACCCACGGCCCGGTCAGAACTCCGGAAGACGAAATACCCTCGGATATACCAGTGCAAAAGCCGATTTTAGGCCTGTATTTAGTCGGGTGGGGCATAGCCCTGATCGTTTGTGGAATATCTGGGGCAGTCAATTTGAAAGATTATGCTGGATATTCTCAATGTTTCTTGAGCACCGCTCCGGCGCTGAGCGCTCTGTTCATACCGGGGGTGATTTTACTCATGATTTTGTCCATTCTATTTCTCCTCATACGATGTACTATAAGGAACACGAATGTTCAGTTGTCGGAAGGCACTCAGGCCACAGAGAATGTCGATTTAGAAATGTGGGACCCAAATCAGGCAAATGAGGCGGATATGCGAAGTATCAAATCGGGCGTTGATTCTGAGACAGAAGATGTGGAACATACACCCATAATTCAGTTACGAGCGCAAGTTATTGTGCTGTGCCTATATATTGCAGTATGGACGTGTGGGGGAGTTGCTGTCTATAGGCCGTTACCAGCATATTTACCTTACCAAGAGGACATTTGCAGTATCGTTTACGCTGTTTGTGCGACCATATTAGGAACGTTTATTCTTTTCTTCTACGGCATAGCTCGCAGTGACGTCAGAGCGCAGTGGTCGCTAATGCATTGCTACCTGCAGTCGAGTAAACAGTGCTGCAGGAATAGAAGCGTCTTTGATGCAAATCAGAGAAATATATCTGCGAATCCTAACAATGCTCAGGTTACGCAAATATCGGGCGATAATAGATCCAGATCGGGCAGCCGAAGCTCTAACCGAACAAACTCCAAAACAAACAACAGTGGCACCTTCAAGGCTGGCGCGGAACTCAATGGACAAACTTTACAAAAAGATGCTTCTAAAAATATAAACGGAAAAACCCCGAATATAAATCTTGTCGTCTTACACAGACAGCAGTACAGATCTAACAATTCAATGATGACGTATCCAGATAGTAGCAACTTCATCCCTGAGATGTTTTATAACCCGAATCAGATCAATGTCGCAAAGAAGTTCTTTAAGAAACAAAGACAACATATGAAGAGGAATTGCTTAGAATTACCCATAAAAAGAAATTACGATGAAGATTCGCATATTTCATTACCATTACCATCGAAGGACCCGTACAGTGGACTTACTAATATGATGAAATCAGGAACGAAAGTTAATAACACAAATATTCATGTAGACAAACCTAATGGAACCAAAGACATACGAAATACAATGAATCCTAACTTGTTGGAGCAGGAGTCAAAAGATTTGAAAAATTATTCAACAGTAAACAAGCCTTGGAATAGGAACGATGATCCAAAGTCTGGAAGAGATCAGATCATGAATATTTACACGAATGTGCCAGAAACTCAAGTGCCTCAGCATCAAGTTGTAAAGTCTAATGTTCAAAAACCATTAAATGGACAAAGAAATAGTGTGTCAGAGGAATGTCTCCAAAGTCACGCTAGCGAACATCCCGAGATGCGTACAATATCGCAACAATGTAGTTTAGAATATAGTTCAGCATCAGAAATGGCGATGCCGCACACTTGCTCTGACCAAACCATCAATACACATTCAGAAATGACCTCTCTCCAAGAAACTCATAGTGCCTTATGTTCTACAAATGAAATAACCGACACAGAAAGCTTCGGACAATATATTGATTATTTACAGCCTGCGAAGAACCAAGATAATAAAGAAGCCCTGGACAAATCATTACAGGATATCTCAGAAGAGTGTACAATGAATAGTGATGAAATAAATCGCTCCAGTACGCCGCAAACTTTAGACGCGATTGGAGAAATGGACAATTTACTACAAAATCCAGACAACGATCTCGACGGGTCCAAAGAGAAACTCGAAGATGGCGGCAAGGAAGAATATTTTATGGCGAAAAACACGTATGACTTTGAGACCTGCAGCACTAATGCGAGTGAGCAAGGGTTTGAAAATGAGAGTGATATATACTGTCCGAACTATCAAGTGTCGGAAGTGAGTATACGCAGTCATGGTCTATACGCACCGTCGCCATCTTCTATGTGCCCCAACGAGATCAGCTTTAGCAACGAAGACGTGTCTACGATGGAAAATCAGTACGTGAACTATGACCCAGGCTGGCGTAGAACGATAAAGAACAATCCAAAGTTGGGCAAATACGTTCCAACGCCAGCGCTAAGTTGTCCAGAAGTCAATCGAGAGAGCCCTGTGTCGTTTTCCAGTGATTTAGATGAACTTTACACGCAGATTACTAGTAGGGACAAAGAGCGGGTGGCGAGGAAGGAGCAACTCGATGTGACAGTTAACAGTGACGTGACACTTAAACCTGACAGTGACAGTTGCGTTAGCGAAGCGGTGTCAGATGTCGAGTGTCGAAAAGGGGAGACTACTGTGTAATTTTTCCTTGATGCATTCGGGATTGTCTCAAAGCACAATATTTAGGTACAATTAAGATTGTAAGTTTTTAATATGGAATGAAGTTCCTTTAATATGGAATGAATTGGAATAATTTATTTTAACGGATTGAAACTCACTGCCAGTAATGACTATGTAAGTCTATAAGTATTTGGAATGTTCTATGAACCTTTGTAGTTGTAATATTGTATAGTTCTGTGCCATTTTGTTTGTAAAATATAGCTTTAAGATGTAATTTATGTAAATCTTTATGAATGATTTATTTGCAGTTAAACGATATCATAGAAATTTCTTAAAATGAATCGCATATTTTAATTAATATGGTCTTACCCTTAAACCATAAGTTACGTAATGTTTTGTCCTTATCACTCATAATAAACGTACGAGACAGAATGTACATGAATTATTTGACGGTTATACACAAATAAAAGATTGTTTTCTTGTAAGTAGACTTAAACTTTTATACTTTTAATAATTAATTAAAATATTATCTACTTAATGTATTTAATGTGCCAAATTTACCGGACTGAATTGTATCGATATAAGTGTTCGCCTTAATTCTAGTCTATTTTGATGGAAATTTTGTTTTAGTCTTCCAACACTTCAAAAATGTACTTGCAATGACATTATAATTAATCATCATTATTACAATCAGTTAAAATAGTTTTCACTCTCTATATAGAGACTTAACAACCTACAAATATGTATTGACTGATCTCAACTTATTTATTTGGAAAATATTAGTTCTTGAAAAATAAAATCTAGGTTCGTGTACCAAGATAAATTTCAAGATGTGTCAAGCATTTTCTCTGATACAACATTCGTGCTAGACATAGTATGGTAAGATTCGTAGATTTGTATAGTGTTTATAATACATGTTATACATTGTATGTTAATAGTTATTATAACATGAGCGTCACCTTCTTAGCTTAAACAATTATGAACTGAGGCTTCGGGTCATAAATTATATTTATCTGTCTGTCTCGCTTGCACTTACATGTCTTATGGAGAGGTATAGTGATGTGCGTAAGAATTGTAGAGGTGCATATCGATTACGGGATACGTACAATCGATATGCTAAATTATGTTAAGTATTAATAGACTCGAACAGAATATATCCGCTTTTTCCTTTAAATACCTTCGTCCATCGACATTTTTTATAAACTTGTAGCCGACCTTCGCCAAAATTTTTCTCATTGAAGAATATTCGCACTTAAATATAGGCATCTGTTCTTGGTCGTTTCTAGAATTCTAACCAACGATTGATATTCCCCGTTGTCATAAAATGAATCAATGGTACGTTTTGTGGCCCGTGCGCAGGTAGCTAAGTATCAATAGCGGGTTGCATTGCGTGCACATTCCTACTGCCAGTGACGTTTATTGCCCGACGACTCAGTTTAAAATGCGTCGTATTAACATTTCGTATGGGAAAGTCAGCTCACTGTGGGCGTATTTGGAACTAAAACACGGAAGCCTCAAGCCTTTGTAAACGTTACGTATAGACAACGCTGTGTTGCCACCTTATATTGTATTAGTATTGAATAAATGACTAAACTTTGGGAAAGTTTTTGAAGTGCGAGTAGACGAATACTATCGCCTATATAGTATAATTCGAAACGTTTGCAGCTGAATGAAGCCTATTTCAAACAGCGTTGAAGCATTTAAAACTTAGCTGCAATTGGATCTGTTAAGGAGTGAAGTTTTAAAACTTTTCGATATATGGGATAGTATTCGTTTATTCGATAATTATTACCACTGTATTGCACTGTATAAATGAACGCGCTTGTACTACAAATCTACGTACCTAATGGAGCTATTGTGATGGTCGAGGGCCAGCGTCATTTTCAATTCAATGTTGAAGTTTTCTATCTTAAATCAATGTAAAGATTTGAAATAATTAAAATGGAATGTGACACGCTAAACGCATGTGTAGTACTGTTTTTCTATAAATATTAACATTTGTGAATATTTAATATATGGATAGAAAATTTATTAACAGTTAGCTTTTTGTGGGCATATTGCATAATAAAAAGCATTTGCACTTAACTTTGGTTTTATTTTATAATTATAAATTTAAATTATATTGCAAACATAAAATGAGATTGGTTAACATTAGTGATTTGTATAAGAAATCTTTCATTACCCAAATTTGTGTATAAATCTAGACTATTAATTGCTTTGAACTGCTAGTAAATCGTTACTATGTTAGGTTTGAACGAAATTTCTTTCGTTTTAAAGAGGGCATATGGCTATAAAGTCGGAAACACACTTACGTGTCGTAGCGTGTCGTGACGCGCCAGAAGCATATTTTAATATGATTAGACAGAACGTGTTGCGACAAGACACAACATGCAGATATGTTTCTAATCATAGGGTATTAAATGTATGAAACCAATATGCTTCTGGCGCGTCACGACACGTAAGTGTGTTTCCGACTTAAGGGATCTAGGTGGTCGTGTCGTATCATGGGGCGTGGGTAGGGTCTCGCTGTATCACAAACTATTGACAAAGTCAAAAATCATTTATTCATATAGGTAACACAATGTACACTTATGAACGTCAGAAAAGAAATATAGGTACTTTAAATGCTTCTAATTTTACATTTACTGCTAGTTCTCAAATCAAGGGCGTAGAATGGAAGAGAAGAACTGGCAATAAATATTTGTCAGTAATAAATGATGCTGTATAAAAAGATCCGAATCAGTAATTTTACTAGTATCTGGTACATCAAAAATTACAGCGACTGCGAAAAGGGGGTATTTAGATACTTGCTTGCATTTTAAATAAAAGTAATTTACGGCTTCAACAAAGACAGAAAAATACTTGTATATGTCTCAAAGCCAAAAGGCTATCAATATCAAACATGCATTGAAAAAACATGCAATCGCGTTGAGAGAAATGCAAAAATAAATATTATCGGTATGACCCTATGTCGGTTTATTGAACTGCGATTAAAATTAATTATAAACAATAAAATTCGAAAATGAAGATGCAATTGTTCGTACACTTTCATTTCACTTTTTATAAAAATCCTGGATAATATAATTTACCTATACTTAAATAGGCTAAAAGTATGGGTGTCAGTACTTATAATTTTTTTAACGTTTCAATAATTGCAAAATAAGTTTAAATAATAATTTTAATCATAAAACCAAAGTAGTGAAAGGGTGAGATACCGTGTGATATTTGAGTGTTAGAGAAAGTATGCTAAGTTTGACTTGCTTTTATCATAGTGTTGGATTTGATATACGAAGAGTCAGAGGTTCTCGGAGTACTGCATTTCACCCCAAGAAACAGAAGACCGTGAATGTAAAACTTTCAATATTTCTGCAAGGTAGAGTTCCATAATACATAGACATAAACACGCTGTTCCGATTCACGCAATTCAATTTAGCAAACATGGTCATGCTCCAGATTATATCTCTTTTTATCGCTGCATAAGCAAAATCTAACAAAAAGAGACAGGTAAGGTTATTTATCTTACACTGTTTTACAGTTTAACTAGAGTAACTTTAAACGTAAGACAAATAAAACAAAGTCTAGAAAAACCATAAAGTCTATATTTAAAAAATGGATTCAATCAATTCATACAAAAATAATTAAGATCTAAATTTAATAAGTTTATTATGTAACTAAACACATATAGGCTTAAAATCACGAAATAAAATTATACATTTGGGCTTTCGACAGCTTACAATTAATAAGATGTCAATCTGTTGACACTTATAATTAGGCATTTTTTAAAATCCGAATCAAAATCAACAGTTTCAACTTATCCAGCATCCTGAATCGAAAAGATAATAGAATAGTATGTAATAATTTCTATCGAAAACTTTATCTTAAATAAAATTTACGTAGGCTTTTAGTGTAGCGTTTTTAGTCTAAACAATTATTATTTAACACAGAAGCTCTAACGGTTAAAAGAGGTCGTTTAAGTATTACGTAAGAACTATAGAGTGAGGGGGTGGGGGGATCTTTGATTTTGTTATTTGGTGATTACGTGAACAATAATGATTTACTTTTTTACACACTGTCTATGCTTGAAAACGATAACGAATTGCATTTTAGAGGATTCCTACAAAAAGTAATACATTTATTTTTGAGAGCTTTGTTAACTTTTTAATACTTGAACGGCTCCAAAGCAGTTAATTGTAAAAAGTAAATTAGTTCCTAACATAAAGTGCAGTGTGTACACTATATATTACACGTAAGTAAACTCCAACCCTTTAAATTTTACGTGAGATTCGAGAGGCTTGGGAATTAATAAATAAAACCTATGCGTTTGCTGGAAGTGCCAAACGGGCGGTGAATTCTCTTCCTCGGTCCGCCACAGCTTCTAACATTCGTGTGACCAGCCCCCGAGGTATGTCCTCTGATTGTTTCTTCTTACCTATATTTAAAATGTGCTATTAGCGAAAGTTAGCAAAAGATTTAATTTTTCATCAGTTTTTTTTTTTAACGTTTGATTTTTTTTATTTAACATTTTTTTGTAATTTAATTAAAACAGAAAACGATTTGAAACATTTAATTTATGATTAGGTAATCGTTTCGTGTAGTCGGTATTCGATTGCCGGCGTAGAAGTAATTGTTTCTGGTTGCTGGGCAGAAATGGTTAACTACTCTACAGACACAACAAAAGCTCTTAAAAGGGTTTAATGAAACAGAAATTGCAGGGTTACGGGATTTCATGGTCAGTTTATTTTATTATTAGATCAACTGATTCTATCCAGGTAAGGTTTGAAATTGAACATTATATAGCGATACTCTTATTCTCAATGCGATTCAAATACGTTGTTACTTTAGTTAATCAATTTTAATCCGTCTTAACACCTTTGTACACAGATACTGTTTTTACTTTTTGGAACATAGTATTTGAAGTGACACTTACCAACGATAAAGTCCAAAACGTGCAGTGGTACGTCCTTATCCCCTGGCTCTGGTTTTGTGACCAGTCGAAACGCGGGACCATTGCAATGCTGTGC